TTTTTTGCCGAATTTTCTAAAATGAAATAAATTACGCACACTTCCATTCTTTTACGAAATTTCGGAAGAAAATCTGTGCCGGGACGAAAATAATGGTGCTATGTGAAGAATATCTTTCAGAATTTTTCCAGAATTTTCTTTATTTTTCGTACAGAAATTTCTGTACGAGTTCGTGTCAACCACTTCATATAATTTTCTTTGAAAATTCGTAAACAAAAATCGTTACAGAAATGAGATACTCCTAACGATTTCCTTAAGATTTCGGGAACTTTGGTTCGCAGGGATGTGAAGAATATCTTTCAGAATTTTTCTAGAATTAGCTTTATTTTTCGTACAGAAATTTCTTTACGAGTTCGTGTCAACCACTTCATATAATTTTCTTTGAAAATTCGTAAACAAAAATCGTTACAGAAATGAGATACTCCTAACGATTTCCTTAAGATTTCGGGAACTTTGGATCGCAGGGACTTTAGATATCAGAAGAAACAACAAAATACAAGTAAATGTTGTTTGCGCTCTAATAGGAGGCATACACGGTGCGTCTGACTCACGAGTCGGTTTGGATGTGTTTGTGAAAATAAATATGTGTTATCTACACCAACATGACCCTGGCATGACTCTGAATGATTCAACTGTGTGTAGTCGAAGGCGAGTCAACACTATAATGCTACTACCCGTTTGACATACCTTGGATTAAGCGAGACCTTTTCCAAATGAAATGAACCTTTTTCAAATTAATTGAAATATTATTAAATTAATAAAGTTTCACTGAATCTGGAATTAGTTTCATTTAATTTGAAAAAGAATTCGCTTATAGCTCATCCAACCAACGACGTACAACCGTAGACCGTATCAGCTGACACGCATGACGGTGACGCTGTCGTTGCTTGTCTCTCTCTCTCTCTCTATCAACAGCAATTTCATACGTTGATACGGACGGCAGGTACGTAAGGGTGCTCCGTCGGTGAGTGGTTGAGCTTTTAATCTGAAAAAGGTTTTATTTAATTTGAAAAAGGTTTTGGTTGATTTGAAAATGGTTTCATTTCATTCGTGTATTTTAGCTACAGATTTATGAAACTGGAAACAGATCCGCCTCAATGAAAGAAATATCAAATCATCAAACAAGTTTCTCCCATGAAAAAGCTTCTTATTAAGAATATCTTCCTTTCGGGGATGGCATAAGTTTTTAGCTGCCGCCATTTTTTCATATGTGGAGAAGCTTTACGACGCATGCCACCTTTTATTAATTGAATTAGTAAAAACCGTCAATGAACTCAGTATTCCCTTGTGCCCTTACAATATTTCTCATCAGGTAGCGCATAAACAAAAGAGTACAAGTAACACTGCGTCAGAAGATTTGGGAATGATATGAATTCCCACTGCCCAAGCACTTAATTTAATTGGAAACTGCTTATGCAATGCGTAATGGCAACTGTTGTCGGCCAGGTGACCACCGAACTTTTGAGTTCATTCTACTAATCGCTCAAAATACGCGTAAAGCAGAAAATGGTTATTACTTGAAGCAACTGAAGTTGGTCTGTTTTGTAGCCATGTGTGCCTGTGTTTCGTACCCGAAATAATAATCAAAAAACTGTGAACTCCACTTTGGAAATAAACTAACTCTTGGCGCCCTGTGCCACAATTTTTTTTCTAGTTTTTTTGTGCAATATCATCCGCCGCAGCCCCCCAGGCAGATATAATTGCTTACGAATTGTTTTTCTTTCTTTTTTAGGCATAAAACTCAGTTACCAATAAGTAGCAAAAATGCATTTAGAGCACACTTTTTGAACTTCCCACTGGTAAGACAGCGCCCTTTATCAAAGGCCTCCACTTGATTTCCGACTTTCATCATTGCAGTTATCTTCTTGTTAGTAGTTTTGCGATTTCTTCAAGCATACAAATCGTTATTATATCAACGAAGGTTTCATATGTAACTCTTACTACCGTTTTCGGTCAAGTATTTCAGCTGAGAATACGACTAATTGGTTATTGAACATCAAGAGATACCCAGTAGAAATCTTGTGCAAATGACTTCGATGTTGGTGGCGTGAACTTGCTGCTGTGTATGCATGGCATGATAAATGAAACTTCATTTCCATTTATCATGTGTGGTTTCTTAGAGCGTATGCGTACTCTAACCATACATAACCACACACTAGTACTAGTACTGTCAGAATATGGCTGTATTAATGTTTCAAACATATAAAAATGCGTTAATGCACTGTATTAAAGCATCTTCTCACGATATGTATATCCATATGTAAATGCCACTTTTCAGATGCGTTCTAATAGATATATGTATGGAACGTACGAGTAGCATTTAGTTATCCAAATTAATATCGTATAACAGCCCGTTAGTGCTGAAAATTTTATCGTACGAAACACGTACGTTCCCTAAAATTTGTGCACAAGACAAAGTTATATGATTAAGCGCCTTTTACTGCAAATCAGACAAATGACCCATTAGAGTATTTCGCAACCAGAGCATTGCGTCAGCTGACAACATTAACTACTAATAATAGTTGCGTTTGATAACAAAATTAGCCAACAAGCAAAATCAAGAGCGTAAGCGAAAATGCTCTCCCAAAGAGAAGAGCAAAAAGCAAAAAAGTAAACGAACAGGAAATTAGCCATCACTTGCGAAAACCGGAAGAAGAAGACACACCAGCTGACTTTGTTTACGTTTTATTTGCAAACAAACTGAACTTTATGTTGCTACCATGGAAGAAAAAAGGAAAGTGAACGTTCAATGTTCGCCAGGAACATTTCTAGAAGTAAAAACTAGTTGGCACTATCATAAAGTCACATAGCAGGTAGCCAAAAAGCATATAAATACCAAAACTCGAAAATGCAATTTTTTTTGTTTACAAAAATTGCAACCATATGTTTGTGATCATATGTTTTCGTGTCGGATAATTTTTGCTGACGAAAATTTTGCCAGTACAAAATGAACGCTTCTCTTGCATCAAAATGAACGCTTGCTCTCTCAATTTTTGTGTGTTGGATATTTTTTTGTCGTTATCGAACGCCATCCAGTAAAATTTTGGAAATACTATTACAAATTTTTGATTTGTCGAACGCAACTAATATTTGCCGCTTACACAATATGTGTTTGGCCGAGCTCCTCCTCCGTTTTGTGGCTTGCGCCTTGATATTGTCACACAAAGGGCAAAGACCTACAGTATTGCGCCGACTCGGAACGACAATTGTATTTTTACGAGAAGCTGTTTTCCATGGCTGAAAACACACGGAGGTTTGCCATTGGCAGCCGAGGGCAACCGCTTATTAGAAACAACTTTTTGTTATTTATTTTTTATCATTGCCCTATGCACGGAGGCATAATTAATATTTTTTGCTCACATTGACTGGTATGCATCCGATATGTCAACGCTATCGTCCCTCTATCTAAATTTTGCAGCAACAGACCATTTCAAGCAGCGGGGCGGGGCGGGGCAACATTTAGTGCGAATTATTTAGCCGACTTACGCAAATGGAAACCACCAAACGAGCAGCGTTACGCAAGCGAATTATTGGTTGTGTGAACATTTTCGCCATAATCTTGCGGATCACGCAATTGCGTTTGAATTTTAAGAAGCAACACATCAACGCTTGCCCTATATTCATGCCTATGTGATTTGTGCGAATGCCACAACACTCGCACTCTAACCGTTCGTTTATATGGAGCAGATAGTAATGATAGCCAAATGGTATCACCATAAATTGGCCATTTTCACGAACTGCGTGAATGGTAATGCGTTGGAGAAATGAAGTGCTCTACTTGGGCATAGCCAATGCATTATTCGAGCTTGACAGGGAATATTTCGGCCAGTTGTGCATCGAGAATGCAGAGGAACGCCGCTTGAACCATTTGATATTTATCAAAGTGCTGATATCTGCTATTCATGCGATCGCTCCATTTTATGGGTCCATACAATTTTCTGCCGTACCCGATTTGTGTGGCCTGCTGGCTTGTCTCTATCACAGTTATGTTCATAATTTGCTTATTGGCACGCTTTTCGTATACTTCTACTTGACGACGCTGCTGCGAAAACGCGTCTCACTGTTGACTACGAAGCGAGCGAATTGTTTCGCTCAATTGAACTGCTGCAAGATGGCGATGAAGCGCCCACCAGTGCACGGACTTAGAAAAAATTAATAACGGTAGATTTTACATAAAAAAATTGGTAGAAGTTGGTAGATTTTTTTATAGACAGATAGTTTTTACTCATTTGGCATAAATTAAAGCGAATTCAGGTAAGATGGTGTTACCAAAGCAGCTGTATTTTCGCCTCGGGGATTCTTAATGTCATAATGCTTAAAATTTGTTAGAGGCATTTTTGATTTTGATCTTCTGCTGCCTTGGAATGAATAGTAATTCTTTATAAAACAATAAAACATTCAACAAAATACGTATAAATATGTATGTAGCACATAAAAATGGGCCCGAATCATGGCATCCGTGATCGAATGAAACACGATTCGAATCGAATGAAACAAAAAAACAACTTTTTTCTCTCAAATACATTTTGAACTGATAAAGCTAAGTCGCTACCAAAAGCCGTAGTCTCAAAAAAATAAAATTTCGATTCGAATCTGATTCCATCACGGATGCCTTCATTCCGGCGCTGCTACATTAAAACAACAATTACTCTGCACTTCGAAAGTTTTTGATTAAAATTAGTTTTGAAATGCTTGAATTTTGCACACCACAAAAAACGTATTGCAAACGAAAAATATTTCCATAAACAGTTGATAGAGATGCAATTTTACTTTTAAATTGGTTAGAGTTAACTTTTCATTTTTATTTAAGATTTATCCGATGGCAAAATATGGACATAAATTTACACTGCGATCTCTTTGCTTTATTTCCGCAAAATAGTGGTAGATTTTTAGCCTTTGTTGGTAAAAATGTTAGAAAATAATATAGAGCTAAAAAGTTGCTAAATCTACCAATAAATTGGTTAAGTCCCTGCACTGGCGCCCACGCAACTGCAAAAATCTAGTGCTTTGGCCAGCAAGGAGCTGATGCAAATGGCGAAAATATATGCACAGCTGAGCGCGATGACCATGCGTCTGAACGCCGACTTCAAACAGCAAAATATTGGCTGCAATCTTTATACAGATAATTAATAACATTTCGTACAGCTACTTCAGTTATGTGCTGATGAAGGGACACCTCGAGATAGTCTTCGAAACGCCAGCTGTTGTACTAGCTACCATGGAGTGCCATGGCCGAAATGATCCTTCTTTTGAACAGAAACAAACAAGAGAGTAGTTACAGAAAATTGTTTATTTATTTTCTTGAAATCTCGATTTTTAACATGAGTTGTTCTCCCTGTGCTCAGGCGTCATGTCGAAACAACTGGTTAAATCGATCCAATAATGGAGTCTTAGCGCCTTCGGTTTGATGAGATTCTATATCGAATTGCATGAAAATGATAACTTGGCTGACCACAAAGACCCACAATCCCAACGCACTTTCCCGATTCAGCTGAAATAAGCCAGCGTTCTTGATGTCGCCTTTCCGCTGCTGCAACTGCAAGGCGAACAACTCACTCTGAAAAATAATATTGTCAATTAATGTACGTACGTATGTAAGTACTTCGCTTACCTCCTGCTCGAACTCATCACCTAGTGGCGGCAATATTTGGAACCGACGCAATATCTGCGCCATTTTGTCATGCGCAGCCATAGTCCTGTCTGAAATCCAATAAATCAAATTCAAGTCAACAACATCTATTGCCGCATGCAATAAAACCAAGAATTCTATTAAATCTAGCTCCCATTCGATGGATTTCAGCATCACCAAACTCAAAAAGAAACCAAAGGAAATGGCACTAACAATGTACAAAAACACCATTGCTAAAATGTCCTGTTGGTAGTCTACAATCAGGCGCGCCAGCAGCCCACTGAGGTGCGCATGTATTCGTGAAATTTCCAATAATGCTTCAGTGGCATCGGCAATAAACTGCCGTTGCGCTAAGATGTCCACTTCGCACTGGTCGCCTCTAATTGTCACCTGCTGCAGCTGACGCAGCAATTCCTTCATTTTCCTATTTAGCAAGCAGAAACGCTTATGCAGTAGCCACATCATATAGCTATACATGAAGAGAGAAGCTGCTAGAATGCCTTGCATGCAGCTCTCGTAGAAGGCCACCAGCAAATTTTTGACAATATGACCCGCATTATCCATCAACTGATCCAAAATAAAATCATAAAAAGGAGTACCAACGTACAGGCAGAACACAAACATTTTGAAGTACAGTATACGGTCGGCCGAACGGTCCGTCGCCTTGTTACCGCACGCCTTACTGAAATAGCTCCGGTCGAGTTCAATGATCGACTCAGCGATTTCCAAATGTATGCCATCCCTTCGACGACGCAAGAGCACCGAGACCATTAATGCTCCGATCAAAACACTATTCACTATTGTGTCACAAAAGGACTCCAAATATTCTGTGTACATAACCTCATCTATTGGATTGATGATGAAGAGCACCGGTAGCAAAGTCAAAACTGCAATATTCGCGCAATTCACATAGATGGCCACAATGCGGCTTTGAATGACCCTCTGAGCAAGGAAGTCGACCCTAATTCGAGTGAGACCCAAGCATATAACGAATATATTGAAATACCCAATTAGGCGCAAACGAAGCTGTGAGCGAAGCGGTGGATTCATTATGTTGTACGTTTGTTTTATTGGCTGCATTGACTGCATCGACTGCGTGAAATGCAATCATCAACGGCCTGCTCAATAACTACTAATTAGACAGCCGGTTAGCGTGCGGTATGGATTGTCTCCGATCAATATCACACCAAGGTGGTAGCATAACAATAACAATGATTAATGATGCTATAAAACGGCATTTATATTAACTCACTGGTGTAGAAATAACGCCCGCACTTGCTTCCAGAGCCAATCTGATTAAGTGAAATTTTATAGCGATAAATTTATTAATTTAATCATGCCTTTGATAGGTGCAACCTAGAAAATATGTGCCAGCCATTTTCGAGATATCGTATCAAACCCTAAAAGTTTACTACTTGTAGTAAGATTACTATGCAGGCTAGATCTGTAGCCCCAAGCTACGAGTTGGGACTATTCGGTATAACTCCTAATGAAGCCATAGTGATGCTCAAATTCCGACCGTCAAGGAGCTTTACTAGCAGTTTCTCAGGAAAAATTTGCCTACCTCCTTGTAATTCAGAGGAACATCACCGAAAACGTACCGAGCAGGCCCAGCAGTGCCTGTATAAGGCAATCTCTGGATATGACCGTAAACCCATTAATGAAGGGTGCGATCAGTATAATTTTGTGTGGTTTCATTAGACAAAACTCCTACCTCTTTACACAAGAACGGAACTGAAATTGAATACAGAATTTGGCGTAGAATTAAACATAATTTTTCAGCTGTAGCTCTCTTAAAATACCTGGAAGTAAGAAGTGTTTGGTGTGATTGAAGGCAGTTCGCATATACAGGACAGCAACACACTCCACTTTCATAACGAATGCTTTGCCATTTGCTCAGACGTTCTGGCGGTTATATTTGGCAATCTTCACAACCAATTCGATAGTTCTTAAGGAATTGAGAACCCTACTGTATAACGATTAAATCCACCTTTCGTAAAAACCATTTGGGTTCTCTGGTCAAGTCCGTACGTATTTTGCATGGGAGGAGCGGGATTTCAACTATTAAAAATTTCCTTAGTATAAGTCATTTGAAATAAATTACGTTTATACTCAAAATCATTAATGATTAGTGGCTTTTATTTTGTTTTAAAAGGGTATAATGCGTTTTTTGTTTCTTCCACTACGTAATTAATTTGATGTTCTTTGTTATTAGTTATTTTTGGAATTTCATGTGGTTTTTATAACAAAAATTCAGAACTTAAACGCACTTAATTACATGTAAGCCACTGTATGCCATATTTTAGTATTTTATTCTCTAAAAAAGCATGCTGCTAGTCTGTTTGCTCTATTCGAAATCCGGCATTTCTTTTCACACCTATTCGATTCGAAAAAATTGATTGAACCGCTCCAGTAGAGGATTTTCCTTGGATTTTCTTAGCTGTGACTCTAAATCGAATTGTTTAAAGATGATAACTTGCGTGAGCACAAAGATCCACAACCCCAACGCACTTTGCCGATTTAGTCGAAACATGCCAGCAACTCGGATGTCCATTTTCCGCTGCTGCAGCAGCAAGACGAACACTTCACACTGAAAGGGAACTACTTTGAATTGAATTAATTCTTCGTGCACAGTTAGGCACTCACCTCTTGCTCGAAGACATCGCCTAGTGGCGGCAATATCTGCAACTGACAAATTATCTGCGCCATTTTGTTATGCCCAGCCATAGCCATGTCTGAAATCCAATAAACCAAATTCAAGTCAACAAACAGTATGGCCGCATATGAGCAAAAAAGCAATGCGTCGAAATCGAACTCCCAATCGACTGAGCCATCCATCGCCAAGGTCAAGTAATAACCGAAAGAAATGCTGTCAATAAGGTTTGCCAGTAGCACAGCTAGAATTTGCTTTTCGTAGTCTACATTCAGGCGCACCAACAGCCGACTAAGGTCCGTATGTATTTGCGAAATTTCCAGTAACGCTTCAGTAGCATCTAACTGCCTTTGCGCTAAGATGTCCACTTCGCACCGTTCGCCTCTCATTGGCATCTGCTGCAGCTGATGTAGCAAGTCTTTAATTTTTCCATTCAGCAAACAGAAGCGCTTGTGCAGTAGCCACATAAAATAAAAATACATGGAGTGAGTAGCGGCCAAAATACTCTGCAAGTAGCTGTAGTAAAAGGTCTGCAGTACTTCGCTGATGACGACTTCATCGACAGCCGAAAAGGAATTGTAAAGTGGAGCTACGAGTTGCAGAGAGAGCGCAAACAATTTAAAATACAGCAGACGATCGGCTCCATGGTCGGTCGACTTGTCAGCACACATCTTACTAAAATAGCGCCGGTCGAGTGAAATAATCGATTCAGCGATTTTCAAATGTATACCCTCTCTCTGACCACGCAATAGTACCGAGGCCGCTATGGCGCCGGAATTTATCAGCAAATTCACCGTCTCACTGAAAGTTTCCAAATTGTTATTGAGAATCGAGGAGGCGTCAATAGATTCGTAGATATAAGAGATCGGTACAAAAACCAAAGTGGCGATGTTCACGCAAATTACATAGAAAGCCACGAGACGGGATCGAACAACACGCTGGGCAACAAAATCGATCCGAAATCGAGTGAGTCCCAGAAATATAACGTAAATATTGAAATATCCGATGATGCACAACCCCGGGTGTGCGTGAAATGTTGGATTCATTGGCGCTGTATTCGTTTTAATCTTCCTTCCTATTGCTCGCCGCATTGGATGAATTATAACTGTAGATGAACTGTCGTTTTGCTGCTAATAAACCAGTGGGCTTTATAGTCGAGTGCACAAATTATTCGCGATTAATATCGCACTAAATGTGGCTACATAGCAATTACAACAATTATTACCGCCACGCAACAGCATTACATTCGATTGGAGTATTGGAACGATTAAGGCGCTGTGAATTGATGCAACCGCAATGATTAAGCGTATGGCAATACTTAGGATATTGAAGGTTTAAGAACGAGACAGTTAAATTGACCACATCCGCATGAACGGCCACCACTGAAAATGCTATTGGCAATATTGACTGATTTCCTTTGCTGATTCGTTCAAATTGTTATAGCGAACTCGACCGTGTGAAGCGTCATATTTTTACGCTATGCTGCTACCACATCAGATATTCACTGCACGCTTCATAGCTCCGAGTGAACAATTCCCTATCGGTCGCATGCTTTTGCGCGAACAAGGATTCAAGTAATCAGCATTAATCTTTAGGGCAGCTCCGGCTACTGGAAATTGCAGTGATAACTAAAGCTGCATTTTTTTATAAGCGAGCGACAAAAGACCGCTAAACTCGGGTAAAATTTCCGTTTAGCTACTTAAGCAACCCTGGTGGTAGCTGGCAAGAAATATGTGATCGGTTTAACGGGATTTAGATACAAAAACCCAATTAAGAGAGTAATTATGCGAGGTATTTGCGTAATATATATACTATATATATATATATATATATATATATTCACAATGGAGCAATTTTTCACTTACCAACACTACCCTTCAGGTCGCTTATTTTTTAACCGTTTTAATAGTTTAAATTAAAAAACGTTTAAATAAACAATTGGGCATTATTCTCTGAAGTCCTTTGAAGAGAAGCAGAGTTTTCAGATTGAAAAATTTTGATTTTCATGGATTCTATGCCATTTCTACGAAAAGTATTTTTTCCCCCATACAAAATACATGGGAAACTTTGAGCGCTTTGAGCGACCTCTAAATATATTTTGATTTTAAAATAAAAAAACAGGGGT